GGGGGAGGGGGGGCGACAGCGCAAGTACCCCTCGCACCTGCGTATATCCTCCTCTCGGGATCGAGTATGTGGGAGAACTTGGCGATTTCGTCATCCGGTGCCTGGAAGGGATTATCCTGATTTCCCGTGTGCGGCGCCAGGTGGGCCAGGTACATGAACATGGGCTCGTTCACTCTGTGATTCTCGATCAGGCGCACTGCTTCCTCGGTGAAGAGATCAGTCGAATATTTGCCAGCAGTTTCCCAGGCCACGCTCATGTTGCGTCTCATGTCGAAACCCCGATAGCCCTCGTACTGGAAAAGTAGTCATTAGAGAGATGAGTGATTAGCAGATACGCTTCCGGCTGCTCGTGAGCCTGAGTGCCTGAATGCCAGAATGCTGGCTGTCAACGTTACCGTGGCTTCGACTTGGTGGCTGTAATAATCTTGGAGTCCGTTCCAGTAGCCAAAGTGCGAGTCGAACCCGCGATAAGTCGGAGTGTATTCGCGCCGGTAATAGCCCAGGTGCCATTTGCCCACGGCGTGAGTCCTGTATCCAGCCTCCCTCAAGTACTGCAAGAACAATGCATCCCGATTGAGAGAACCTTCCGCCCCTGAGAATCCTCTCCGAGTGACACTTGGAACGTACCTGGGGCAGCAATCTCTCTCTAAGAGGGAGTCCTCTGGGCTCCGGTTCCAGGATCACGGAATGCTGCATCCCCGTGTGAATGGGATACTTGCCAGTCATGAGGGCCGATCTGCTGGGCGTGCAAAGGGCAGGCACGTAGTGATTGTTCAGGATGACGCCGTTGTAGGCGAGAGCGTCTATATTGGGCGTCGGAATTTGATTCGATCCGTGAAAGCTGACGTCGTTCCATCCCTGATAGAGATAGAGACCCGCGTAAAATGAGATATGGAAGAGGCGCTCGAGATTACTGTGTCGGACTATCATCGGACTATTGGACTATTTGTGGGAGAGCTACGGCGACTACTTCCGTCGCGTGTCAAGTACTTTCACCAGGAGAGCTTTGGATATAAATCGATTTTCTAGGATCCCAAGAACCGTTCCGAAGAGACGCTCTGACAGTCGTTATCTCACCATGTCGTCGGCGAGAATGATGATGATGTTAGGTCGCTCGCTCTTGCCGATATCGTGATCCCCATTTCCGGTCCTTCCCGTAGACGAAGAGGACGAAGTAGGCGAAGGCGGCAAAGTCCCCGAAACTGCTGGACGGCTCGGATTGGCAAGCAGCGAGGAGAAAACGACCAGCAGCGACGCCAGCCGTAACCACAAGCCACTCATCCTGATGGGAGAGAGAGAGAGAGAGAGAGAGAGAGAGAATCTGGGAAGCAAGCCAGGAGAATTAGAAGCTCGGCTCTCTAGCACCGGCAATACATTGAGAGCCGAGAATTGCCAGAGATTGGAAAGCAGGAAACCGGACAGGCGGGACATTAGAAATTGGGCTGTTGGCTACTAATGGAGCTTTTCACGCGAACTTTTATATAGAGCACGTGCCGAAGTCACTCGAGAGACAGCCGGCTTAAATGACAATTCGTAAGATGACATGTTTCTCTGCACTGGAAAATTTGTTCTCGCTGACCTACAGACGAACATTTGCTTTGAGCTCGGGCGCGCGTGAGTTTCTGGACCGTGACGGAGACGCTGAAAGGTCGAAATCTCGGTGGAATCGAAAGAATTGCAGAAAGAGAGAGAGAGAGAGAGCAGATGCTGCTATTGCCATTGCAATGGGAGGAATCGCAACGACTGAAACAGGAAGATGGCGCTAAAGTGCATCCGACTAATTGTAAGGCTCTCTACGAGGATGATCTCGGCGCGGAATCGCGTAGAGGAGAGTCTTGATAATCTCAGCAATTCCATTTCTCCGGAACAGCAAGATCTTAGATCTTAGTAAAGACGCCAGCTGGCTCATAGCGATTCTTTCCGCGGCACCGGCAGCCTCGCGTCTAACAGTAAATTCATTATTTCGAGGGTCATCGTCCACTTGTACCATAAGTGGGACTGATCGTCAAACGGCAACACGATCGCTTCATAAAAAACACCGAAAATAATCGAACTGGATGGCAACGGCGTTCGGCAACTTTTTTTTTGACAATCGCTCGTCCTGTCGAATGACCGAGTCAAGCGAATCAGATCTGCGGCAGACTGTCTCTGTCGTATCACGCATTCTTGTCGAAATTCCTGAAAAGTTGTGACCACTCAAAGCCAGCCGAGTCAGCTCTCAGGCGAACGACGACCATTTCCGTAGCGTGCGCTGTCGAGGCCTTGAAGAGACACTTTTTTAAACGAGTTTCCAAATCAGTTCGAAATCGAGTAGCGACCGTTTGTCGTAGAGCATTGGAGGTTTAAGCACTGCCGGGCTGGGCTGCCTCTCTCTGCCGTGTCAGCACCGTGACCTTTTTCAATGATAATAGAGAAAGTAGTCATAATCCGTAGTCGGACCGTCGACTGCCGATTCCCGATTCCCGATTCCCGATTCCCGATTCCCGACTGCCGATTGCCGATTGCCGAACGCGTGCGACACAGCGTGTTTGCGCTGTTCCGGAGCTGCAAGTCCGCAAGGCCGCGTCCACCTGCCGTCTCTTCGCAGCCGCCGATCGACTGTGTCAAGTTGCACGCGATTACTCGGAATTAATCCAAGTACGCCATTGTCCGTTGTCTCTGTCACTTCGCCTACCTCCGTCTCCGTTGGCTTCCTGCCTTCGGCATGCAGATTCCTCTTTTCCCTACTCTGCTCTTTGCTCTCATTGCCGTCTAACGATGCCACCCGAGATGGCAAGCTGCAACCTTACTTTGTTAGTTCTAAACTTTTCGATTCCAATGGGGGAGAACTATCGAGGAGAATCTTGTCAATTAATTTCCTCTTTTTCGCCCGCGAGACTCCGACAGGCTTTTACATTGGGCAACTTCCAGGCAGGAATTTCCTATTCGAAGGAGCAAAGGGAAGCGACGAGAGAAGTTTCAAGTTGGCCTCCGTCACGATCGTCGGGTCGTCGGGTCGTCGGGTCGTCGGAACGAGATGCCGAAAGGCCTTGCGGGAGGACGTGGCTCCGAGAGACGCGTGTGCGCGCGCGCGCGCGCGCAAGTGCGAGCAACGTGCAGAATCTGCGGAAAGAGGAAAAGGTCGAGTGGACTTACCGCGCGTAAACGTAGAGGAGTCTTCTCCGTCCAGTGGCTCACGGGCGACTATTACGAGTCTCCACGGTTCAGGAACTGAGGAACCTCCAGACAGTCTGGCTCTCAGTTTCAGACTCTGACAATCAGATTGAGGCTCGGAGGCTGGACAAGACTTTGATGAAGGTAGGAGCTACTCGCGAGTGGGGATCGAGACTTCGCAGCTTCCAACGACGGAGCCCACAGGGCATTGCGAGGCGCAGATCTCGCGGCAGATCTCTTCCCGATCTTCGAGGTCCAAGCGAGACGCCGCAAACAGTTTTATTTCCTCTCGCAGTCTTTGCCGCCTCGTAGTTGACGCTTCGCTTGTCCCGGACTTTTCTACTGCTGCTCGACACCAGAAAGGCGCAGAGCCAGAAGCCGCGACTGAGCGACCAGTGGATTGCCAGGTGAAACAAGACTGGTCCATTCTTACGGGTAATTGGTTGTTCGCAGAGCCAATTAGAAAAGACTCAATTGAGATTGCAAGATTGTGCTAGGTGTTGTGTCCCCCAGCGATCAGGAGTCTCTTGAGCGTTGACCTTCAAGGTTTCTCGACTGTGCTGTCGCCCGTCTCAGAGTGTAACGAGGCCTGTTCGAAGAAGATCTTTTTCCTCCGGGCGCCTCCGACTAAGGCAGCGTCACCCGTCGCGTCGCGCAGTCAAGGAAACTCTCGAGAGACTGCCTCGACTCGGCTGATTCAACTGTTTGACGCTCGAATTCGCGTTCGTGACTCTTTCCTAAATCGGGAAACTTTAGCAGATTTCTCTCGATCATCGGATCGCTTACTCCCGATTGGCAGAAATATGTATTCGGTATTGCTGGTATCCGAGGCTGTTGGATGGTTCGCAGTGATCCTCGTTGGCCTCTCTTCTTTTCTTGACACTTGACACTTGACACTTGACACTTGATACGCGTGGAAAGGAATTTGTTGTCGAGGCCGCTTCGACGGAGAACTCAATGGGATAGTCTCTTTTTTTCTTGATAATATTTGGACATAACTATAGACTACTATAGGCCCCAGGCCTTACGCGTTCCTAAGGCTCGACCTGGACCCAGACACGAAATCCAATCCATAGGAAGGAACTGCGCCGTAATCGAGCGAATGCAAAGTGGTAATTAGCGTTTATCTAGAATCTAAATAGACTGTAGAGTCTCGACCCAAGTACGAGACCAAGAGACTCGAGCGGACTGTACTTTTACCGATACACCTTTACCATCTCCGTAAGGAACCTTGAGCATGTAGATTATCTTATTATCTTATTATTGTCATCGAGACAAAAAGAGGATCCAATTGGCGGAAGTGCTCGGATGAATCGAAGCAAGCGAGGCGAGACGAGACGAGACGAAAGGAAAAGAGGAAAAGAGGAAAAGAGGAATCTGTTTTTCGGAGGTTCCGTTAGGGATGGTTGGATCCGCAGCCGACGCGCGCGACTTGGACTGCTGGAAATCAGAGGCGCGCAAGGACAAGTTCTCCGATTATAGGAGCCGCGGGAGGCTGCATTTATTGTCGCAGGAAAAGGAGGCTAAGCGCGAGGGAGCCATCACTCTGGTTTACCATTTAACGTAGGTTAAAGCCACTGACATATCCAGAAGATAATAGTTGGCCAAGCGTCCCGGCGAGTCGTTCAATGTTCCTGTAAACCTGTAAATTTATAAGAGCCAAGATGGGGATATATGGGTGATTGGGAGAATGGGGAGCGGGAGATTGTAAACGAAAGAGGTCGTCTGTTGGTGAATTTTAATCGATCGGATTTGCATGGCGGCAATTAGCCGGCGCGCTGTCATGCCTCGAGTGGACTTGATCAATTTTCCTGCCTCATCCTGACGTTGAACAATGCACACTGGACGGTAGTCTTTATCGCGTAATCCAAGAGAGACACGAGAGACACGAGAGGCGTCTGGAACACGAAGACTCGACGGACTTTAGGATCCATTGAAAGGTGCGATCGTCAGCTCCTTCACCTAGAAACACAATCTCTGAATAGGTCTGTCTAATGTGGCTAATGGACGACCCCGAAGAGCCCCGAGGGATCGCCCCTTTTTTACCTGAACTCGTGGCGGCGTGCTCAGAACGTAGAGTATCCCGTCGACGATATCCGCACTGGCTAGCTTGACCATACTGCTCGGGACGTCCAGTTTGTTGATCATATCAGTCTCCACGGCACCCGGACTCACGCTCTGTGCAGATTTCCCTAGTTTTAAACTCGCTCGACAGTCGGAGAATGCAAAATGCTCGACTCACCGTAATCTTGATGTTCAGGTTGGCGGCCGCGATTTCGTTTCTCACGGAATCCGTAAGTCCGGTAACTGCAAATTTGCTCGCGGCGTAGATGCTTATCGGGATCATTATGAGTTCGGCGTTGTGGCCGGCGACGCTATTGATGTTAATAATGTGCCCCTGGGAGGGGCTTTTCCTCATCAAGCGCACCGCTTCCCTCGTGCAGATGCTCACCCCGAAAACGTTCACGTCGAGAATCTGACGAAAGTGCTCGGTAGGGCCCTCTGCGCGAGTTAAGAGATCCCTTCTACATTATTCCGATTATTCTTGTCTAATCAAGGATTACCGATTAATCATACCTATGATGCTGCTCGGGAAGAGCACTCCCGCATTGTTAACGAGAATGTCGAGGCCCCCGAATTTCTCCTCGACGATTTTAAATGCCTTCAAGATGTCTTCCTCCTTGCTGACGTCGCACTGCACCGCGTCCAACGTTCCTTTCTTATCCTTCAGACTCGACGCCAATTCCTCCATCTTTCCTACTCTCCTCGCCAGTCCGACCACCTTTAAACCTTCGTTGACCAGAGCCTCCACGAGCGCCGCTCCGATACCGACACTCGCACCCGTCACGATCGCCACTTTTCCTCGCCAACGATCCATCCTTCGGGTGCGACCAAATATTCTACTACGGCTGTTTCACACGGCTGTTTCACGGCTGGCTCGCGGCTGACGACGCTTCTCCATACTTGCTCTTATAACCTCGAGTCCCCTACTACACGCTCTACGGTCACGCTGGTGGCTCTAGCACGATACCGCTACACCAGTACGCCAGCACGCCAGCACATACATCGCTACGTCGCTACTACATTGACGCACCATAGCCATTACGGATTCAAGTCCATCTTATTCTTAGTCGTAGAATGATAGCAGGGTCATTCAATAAAAGAGAGATGGACATTAGTACTCGTCTTTTATATTTCTTTTCAAACTGAAAATGGTTGAAAGCTTATCAGGAAAGTAAAATAAATAAGAAACAATGGTAGATCTTTTTTTTTCGTATAGATATATTTTATCAGGAGCATTATCATCCTTATCGAAAGATTAAACTTTAGCACACGACATTTAACGGCGATGTCTTTTATCTACTATACAAACGAGGCAGAATTATTGCGTCGGCTTTTTTGCTCTAGGATGCTTCTTCAAGTTCGAAATTGTCCGACCGTCGAGATTGTCGAGATAGTCCAATCGAATGCCCTGAGGAATTCCTGAATCGGTTTTCGCACGTATTGCCTTCGATTCACAATTGCCAAAGCACAATGGTTCGGAGGCTCATTTCTATTGTACAATACAACATGGGCGTGTAAGTTTGTTTTTTATCCATGAAACCCGAAGAACTCCAAGTCATGCGTGCATGCACGAATGTGACTTGCAATTCCATCGCGGCACCATTTCCGGACTTACGAGGAAGGTTATCTTGGTGACACGTTCCGAAACATAGGGTGTCTTAATATATTGCGTAGAGCTGTACTCAAGATACATACATATACGTATGGCAAAGAGTAGCGGCCCATCAGGACATTCGATGAGTCAAAATAGGCCTACAAAATTCTTGGATTTTCAGTATTTTCAATATATGTCTCGTAAACTGTGCCAGATAGGAAAAAACTTTAAATAAACGGTAAGAGCTACTCTAACCCATTAAGAATCCGCATGGGTCGCTAATTTTTGGCATACCTGTGTATCTCGAGTAGCCCTACACATATAAAGAAACATCCTATATCTTTCGGGACGTCACCGAGCCAACCTTCCCGGATAGAATTTGTGGACGCGCAGCGAGTAAACAAGTATTTAATTGCTATCGCGTGCATCATATCGCGTGCTTCATATCGAATACGTGTATAATTGCACACGTTAGGACATAAAGATGCAGCCGCGTTAGTACATACATGGAGTCAATCCGACGATCGTGCCCTTTGGGGAGTTTGGTATGTCTCTCGAGTAGTTGATAGAATCGAGCGCGCGCGAATGAGAGGAGCAGGGGGAGAGAGAGAGGGGGAGAGAGAGAGAGAGAGAGAGAGAGAGAGAGAGAGAGGGTAAGTGCGAAGTCGAGGGTGTCAACGCGGGAGAAGGAGTGAGAAAGACTACAACAATCAGAAGCAATCAAAGTTGTCGGGGACGTGAGACGGTTTATCATGCGGCGACCAGTCGAGAATCAAATTGCAATTTCGGAATTCCCGTTGGTTCCCAGGCTGAGCGACTGAGGCGCCGAGGTGCACGTGTCGCCGCGTCACCCTGATAACAGGGGGGCCGGATTGAAACGTGCGTGATAGTGATGAAGGTAATTCGATTTCGATTCAGCGAGACACAATCGGACATCGGATCTATTCAGTTTCGGGCAGACTCTTCGAATTCAATTGAAAGTCAGGAGCACTTTACGAGAGTCGCCCGCTTGCGTTCCTTCGATCTCAAAGCTCCTGCGGAGTCGAAGGATGGACCAAGACCTCCGGCCTCGGGCAATCCTGTGCGCGTGATTATCGGCTAAATATTGCAGTTGCACCACTACTAGGAAACATTTTAATCCGAATCAGGTCAAGTGGCGGATAGACATAATCGCAGCATCCAGTGGCTGGTGCAGCATCCGGATCGGCTGCAGCGTCGCCGTCACTCCTGCCGTGAGAGATTCCTCTCGAACGACGAAGCTTCGGAGGATGATTGAAAGCCGACGTGACAGCTGCCTGAGAAGGATGCGTATGTATAATGAATTTCTATAAATAATTTATTCGAGTAGGTCACCCACTATTCGCGCTAACGGCAATCATTGGAATAATGTATTGCGAGGACCAAGGGTAGAGATATTGAGATATTGGAATGAAGCCGATTGCAGCACACAAGTAGTTTACAAGTAAAGACGCAAAGTGACAGCACGAACAGTGTGGACATTTGATCCTTGCGATTGAACCTGCCGAATCAGCGTTGCCGCTCGGCGATAGTCGATGAACGATGCTTCGACACAGAAGACACGTCGCTGTCCAGCATCCACGTCGACCTATCGCTCCCTGCGTTACGTTCGCGCCTCGAGTCTCCGATGCGCCTGCAGCTCGCGCTGCTTCCGGCATCCCTTTTTCTTTCCAGTCAAATCGCTCGGAGGCTTTTCCTCGAGCAGATCCTTACAGGACTCCGAGGATTGGCCAAGTCTCCCGGTTCTCGGTGAATGGGATATCTTGCTCTTTCTTTCGGGAAATTCTAAGCATAGGATCGATCGGAGGGACGCGAGCCGTACTTCCGCGATAGGCGGCCACCTTCTCGGCCCACTCTTCGCTCCTGTTCTCTCTCTCTCTCTCTCTCTCTCTCTCTCTCTCTCTCTCTCTCTGTCTGTCTCTTTCCGCTCGAGTTCCTCCCGAAGGATGTGCGGTAATCAGCCAGTGAGCTGAAGCCAACTGATCCTGATCCAGCTCTAATGCGATACCGAATCCAAGGCACAGGAGAGAAACGCGAGTGCTGGAGGCGCGCGGGCCACTCGGAGTTCCTTTGAAAGCGAGTCTGGATCTCGGAATCAGGTAGAGAGCGGCGTGAAACTCGGAGCGAATAGAAGGTCGCAAGGTCGACACGCGACGCTCCTTGCCGACGCAGAGATGTCCTCGCGAGGCCGACTTAAGATTTTTGGCAAAACGTGTTCAGATAAATTACGTAACGACGTTAACGTAACGTAGCCTAACGTAATTTCTTCCCTCCCTGCAGACTCGTCGTCAGGGCAGTCTTGTTGCTCGGAAAACTACGGGAAAACGAAAAGGGCGGTCGTCTTAGGTAGTAAGTCCAGTCGGACACGTTGCGGGACTTTTTTCTCCTTTCTCCCGCTAATCGGTGCGAGACTTTTACCAAATGCAGGCAGCTATTGAGTTTTACGGGTTTTACGGGTTTTACGGGTTTTACGAGTTCGACTATCGGACTTAAGGGGAATGCGCGGCTGCTAAGGACCCAGGCCGATCACGAGGACAGGTTGAGAATATTGCTGATGGTGCCATCCTGAAGCACCCTCGATACACCGACTACCAAGTTTCTCTGTCCAACCTGAAGCCTTTCAGCCTCTCGAGGTTCGCGCGGCCTCGAGCTTCTAAGCTTTGACATATTCCTGAACCTCCCGGAGAAGGTTTCCCTCATTTGCAAAAGTATAAGTATCAAAGTATAAGAAAACGAGACTCGGAGGGAGTCAAAGAGTTAACTGTGCGCGACACGGGGACAACGAAGCTCCGCTCGTGGGGAACTGGAGGTGACGCGCTGGCGCGGGGGACCGCCGAGAAGAATTCAATTTTCTTCGGAAATCCTGTTGCGTACCCTTGACAACCAATTTCCCAGAAGAATGTCCTGCTACTCATTTTCCTGATTACTTAATTACTGACGTTCGGCATCTCTTTAATTATCAGATCACTTTGAAGCCCAGCCAAGGGTTCCATTGTCGAGTGGACCGATAATAAGGCTCCATCCGGGAGATGAAACGACTTAATTAAAAAATCTTACGGCCTATCGGACTGCCGACGCGATAGCCGTGATTGATACGAGTTCGTTTTCTTTGTCAGCCGATGCTTTAACTTTATCGCGAAAACTTGAAGCTTTGTACGTACATCGAACGTCATTAATGGCGGGTAACACGTGGTGAAGCAGTGCGGTGAGTTAACAGAGGATATTCAGTATGTGATATACGTTCGGACACCTGTTTCTCTCTCTCTCTCTCTCTCTCTCTCTCCCCACTAAGCTCCCAAATTCCCCTCCAGAGGGGACATGCTCTGTAAAGTAGGCGACGGCGAGCGATATCGAATAAACACATCGCAGACAGAATGAAGACGCAGGAAGGGCAGAAGTCCAGCCGGAAGTAAAGGGAAGTCGATAGGCGAAAAGCTCAAGAAACGTGATCGGGTTGTCGATTAAGGAACTTCCCCAACAAATTCTATAGGGAAACCGCCATAAAGGATGAGCAGTAAATATCGATAAGAGAGACGAATCGAGTTTCCACGGAGCGTCTAATAGAAAGACGCACTGAGAGAGAGAGAGAGAGAGACGGTTCGTTAATCGGTTCCTCGAAATTGTGCGCGACCAAGAATGAGGGTCGCCTGTGAGCAGCAGGCATTGTAATCGCATAAGAGGATCCCCTGGTGCTGCGCTGACAAAGGGATGGAAGTACGGGGTAGGTTATTAAAATTCTCGTAAAACCACAGCGCCAAATGCGGAATACTTTAGTCATTTACGATACGTGCCGCTTCCAGTTCTCAAGGGCTCAATTCTTTGAGTCAGCGCAAAAGTCAAGACAGAGTGATGGAGGAGCAGGCATAATCGGTGTGATCCTTTGAAAGAAAACACAAGAGGGAAAGGCGAGTGAGAGACAGCAGGAAAAACGCGAAAGAAACTGTTTGGCTGAAAGCCCAGCGAAGCCATCGAGTCCTCGGAAAAAGCGTCTCACGCACACGGAGACGGACGTCACGGACGTCACGGACGTCCGCAGGAACTTGGAGCATTCAGGTTCAGCAGTGTCCTTTAAATAACGACATATTGCTTCGCATTCAATATACGCGGATTGGAAAAACATATTCCTATGTGAGCCCAAGTCCTGCGCCCGCCCTAACCTAATCGCTCCTGGGAAACAGCGGGACTCCGGGATTCGTTTATGGAATTTCGGTGCCTGCGACGACGATCCCAGCGACGCTAGCGAAGGTTCAACAGCGGCGGAGGGGGCGCGGGGGGGGATTCCCCCCTCCTGCAGCGCCTCTATCTCTTCGTCAGCAGCTGTCCGACGCGACGCTCAGTGTTAGTGCGCGTCGTGGCGCCGCCACGTGCTTTTCGTGGGCCATCGACGAAAGATGCAAATCAGGAAGGACCTCTGATTCCTGAACCAATTGACAGCTGATCGTGAATCTCTGCTTGGCCGGATCCTCACGTACGACTAGCGAGTGATGCTGCACCTGCCACTTGGTACCGTCGGGACGCCTCTGATCCCTGCAAGGATAAATCTCCGGCTCCTGGAACTTTAGTGAAATTGACTGTAGAAGCCTGAACATCGGAATCCGATGGATACTCGTGGAAATCATCCTCGGTGAGTCAATTTACTCATTTTGACGTATTTCGAGTTTCATTAGCGAAATTGCAGAAACATTTTTCTTCCGCCAATCGTACTGACTCTTTACTTCATTTAACAAGACAAAAAGATATGGAAATTCATTTTCTGAAGCGATGCTAAAGTACGTAAGCATTAATGCTAGTAAGTTCGTTTCACTCGTAAAAGCATTATTGCAGTAATAAATATAAACGTGACAGAATAATTTTGCAAGAAAGTAAACGTCAAGAGTAAGCGAAAACAATGCAGCGATACACGGTAAACAAAATGATCTTTTGGGACTTCATCTTTTTCTTAAATTACCTTTTACCAAGGATTCGTCGGTTCCTTCTGGCATCGCGACATGTAATGCGATTACATGAAAAATTAGGAAAAGAAAGGAAATGCCGTGTCTCTCGGAAACGCAAGAAAGTTGAAGCATCAAATGTGCAAACAGCCGAACATCCGCAGAAACCGAATAACCTGTTGAATCAAGGAAATTGATTCGCTTTCCTTTCGTTCGCTCTCGTCTCTTCGCCGCTTTCTCTTTTGATCCTCCGTATCTTTAAGGGGATCGCGCCACATTTAGACAGAGATTCCTACCGCTTCCAGAATTTCGTGAAATAGAATTTCGATCTTATTTTCGCACTTTAACGGTTTCTTCCGTAATTCCTTTGAAGAACGCGTTCGCGTCCGGGGCGCGCGTCCTACCTTCCGCGCTTTGTTCTTCCTCAGATTCTCATTGGTCGCTCGCTGCGACTGTTGTTCTTTTAAAAATGGACCACAAATGCGAAATACACATCTCGTATTCTCTCTCTCTTCCTTGCACCCTTCGATTCAGGCTCCCGTGGGCCTAATGACGTTTCCAGTTCATGGACCAAATGCAGAGGAAGCACAGACAAGACCTTAAAGAACGTTTCCTCGGGAGGTAGGAAGATTCCCGAGAATCGGCACAGGTTTTCCTTTGCCGAGAGCAACGGAGCTTCGATTTGGTGCTACGGGGCCTCGAACGTCGGGGCTCAGATTTCGCGCACGTGCTTCCGAGCTTGAACGTCAAGAGTCCGAAAGCCTCGGGCCAATCGGGAGCGACCGATCCATTATTCATGATCTCGGAGTCTTGATTACCGGTGATTACCGGACAGCCTGACTCTGGTTTTTCCAGAATTCTTCTGGTTGCAGCCTGACGATCTTGGAGGTATTATTGCAGAAGCCATGTGCATAAAGTTAGCTCCGCTTTTTTTGAAAAAATTAAATATGACTACTGTGCTACATTGTGCTGTAAAAAAAATTTGTTATTCAATTTATTTCTTATTATATGGATATAAATTGTGTTTAGGCTAAAATGTAGCCCCGTCATTTTTTTGACATTCAGAAACAAATATTGTGCCGAATTGTGCTCGACGTGTGCTACTATCGTGGGTGGGTGGGCGCCTGCTGCACCTCCGACGATGCACTGACACGTGTTATCAGCCGAGCGTCGGAATGCAGCAGAGACGAGTCGAGAGAAATTGTCGAGCCAAAGAAAGAACGAGGAGCTGCTCTTGGCACGATTTGCACACGAGGCGAAAACTCAGCAAGGAATTAGATTTGAGCAAAACGGCTGAACGGCCGAACGGCTGAACGGCTGAACGTGTCCTACTCCGAGGCTCCCGAGTGCGAGTGGGATCTCGAAGCAGGTCACTCCGTCGTTCTTCCTCGCCAGCCTTTTCTTTCCTGGAAGCTGCTGCTCTGTGCCGAGGGGGAAGGAAGAGTTATCTCGTGGGGATGGATTCAACGAACGATCGGGATAACGTTGCTCGTGGTGCCTTTTGAGCAACAGGAACTCCAAAAATGTGCAGGATGAAGGGATTACTCGTCTGGCGATAGTAACAGCTGCCACCCTGCGAGAGAGAAAGTTTGGCAAGAGAATAACGCCATTGGCTAAACCGATAACAGGAAAATGCTTTTCAATTGGAGTCTCTTAGCAGAGGAGACTGAGAGGGGGGGGGGCCGAAAAATAAGGGAGGGAGACAAGAGAGAGAGAGAGAGAGGGACAAGTCTCTGGTCGGTTAGGGAGACAGCAAAAACTTTGTCCTCGACGGGAGTCTTTTTTATTTAAGTAGAGTCTCATCGAACTACCTAATAATGAACACGGGGCAATTGCCGACGGGCGACGGGCGACGGGCGACGGGCGACGGGTGACGGGTGACGGGCGACGTATGGCGTCGCGAATATACATTTATGTAGAGAATCGAGGATCCGAATGAGCGAGGACGAGACTCGTTCCAGCGTCGGACTGATATGGCGCGAATGATCATCAGAGATCGCTGCCGCTTGCGCAGTTCTCTGGTTCTTCGTTACGATCGATTTCCTCCTCCTGCGAATTCTTCTTTCTACGTTCCTCCTCATTGGCAGAATTGACAGGAACCTCGTCGCTTTCCATTCCATTCTCGGATGACTGCAGTGGAGGAGACTCCATTGGCAGCTGCTGCTGACTCCTGTGCCTCGAAGATGATCGCCTTTCCGTCTTCCCTTCGCTCTTTCTGTCGCTCGACCTCGTCGTCCTCGTCGTCCTCCTTCTCCTCTTCCTACTCGAGGAATGGCTCCCTCGATTGGACTTTCTGGTCTTCCGGCTGTCATCGTACTCGGGACCCCCCACGGAATCATCCGAGTACGTCGTACCTTCGGCACTGGATCCAGCTGCTCCTCCTCTTCCCTTCTTCCCGGGTCGCTGTCCCTCGAGGTCTTCCGCGTGGCTCTTGCGACGAGGAACAGCCCATTCCTCGACTTCCTCCTCGACGCCCTTGCGCCGGGCCTGTCGCATCTTCCGAGTCGTCCGTTCCGGAGTTTCCCTGCGACGGTGACGACTTCGACGTCGCCTGCGTCTTGCGCTTCTGCGCCGACGGCCACGACTCCTTCGTCGTCTGCGACCTCTGCGCTCCTGAATTCGATGGGAGGGATCACCACCGAAGGGCAGCTCTTCCGTGTCGGCGGCGCTGGCCTTGAGTCCCCCGTTGCTGGGATCTTCCGCGCGGTGCAGGTTCGCCCTGATGGGATTGACAGCGACAAGCGCCTTGTAGCGGCCACTTTTCAGGCGCAGCAGACCGGCGTTCACTGCGTGCTTCAAGGCGCGATGGACCTGCACGGCGGAGGAGGAGAGACGCGTCGATTCGAGAAATGATTTTGAACTTTCAAAGGAAGAGGAAGAAGAGAAGGAAAAAAAAGCATCGGCGCAGTCGGAGATTTACCTGCATCGTCAGATTCCTCGCGGGTTTCGGCGAATTCTGTCTCACGAAGGAGAGGACATCTCGCGCTGAGGATCCTTTGCCCTCGGAGAGATGCGTCACTGCCTCAAGGACACGGGACATGAAACGTGGATTCGAAGGACGAACCATCTTAAAGCTCTCGCCAGGTTCTTCTAACAGATCCAAATGAGAGGCGCCAGTGACTCGAAGGAACGTTCATAGCAGGAAATTCCTTCGTTGCACTGTAAGAACGCTTTTTTCCGCACTTTGGTCCTTAGGATTTTTGCGAAGCAACAAGAAACAAAGGGGAAGGAAATTTTAACGAAAATTTAATCAGAACATCTCGACGGCCATTAAAGTCTTTGGCGAATGAATATTTGTTTGCCAAGACGCTGCGGCGTTGCTTAGCATCGAGCGTTCGTCCTTTGCTGTTTGCGATTCGACACGCGATCGCGCGAATCCCATGGCCGTTTAGGTTCGGCTTCGTCGACCGGGAAGCTCGAGAGCAGTCGGGAGGTCCACGTGGGCCCACGTGGATGGTGGGAGCATGGCGATGAGACCTCTGCGAGAACTACCTGCGCTGATGCGCTGGATGGGCAATCAAGGCTGATTTCCTTCTGACCTTCCTTCTTTCGAAATTATAAATGAAACGTTTCACCGGTAGCATTTTCACAGCTCGAGCGAGTGCGAATCGAGTCGGGATTGTCCGACTGCGAGAGCTCTTTCGTTTTCTAATTGTAAGTGCGAGGCAGCTCCTGCCTCGGGACAAGACAGATTCGCCTCCGTCAGACGTTTGATCAAAACTTCGAAACGTCAACGATAAACCTTTGACATTTTTTCTCTTAATTTCTTTCTTTTTCGTGACGTAGTTTGAATCGTAATAGGGAAATAATTGGGGAGCGCAGAATCTTCCCTCGAGGCGTTGCTTCTCATTTAAATTCACTGATCCTTCACGAGGAATCGTATTTCATTCGATCGGACGCGCCGCGCCGCGCGTCATTTTACTTTGATCTCATCACTTTCGGTGCCGTTACGGAGAGTTTGTTGCGTCTCTTGGATCTTTTTTACATTAAGAAATGGTTTTTTTTTTAATTTTACAGGAAGCCATGAGAAGACTCGACTGATTTTGGGTTAGTAGGATCGCAGCATCGCAGCATCGGTGGAAAGGGCGGAGAGGAGGAGGGAGAAAAGCAAAGTAGGAAGGGAAGGATCCCCCCCCCCTCCACGTCTCTCGAGACTCTTCTGCCAGGATGAACCAGCGACTCCTGCTCGCATTCGCGAACCTGATCTCTTCGTACGCCTCGTTCTCGTGAGTTGCAACCCGCAGAGAGATGCAACTCGGCACTCGGCAAATAACAGAGATTCCCTAATACGTGTACCGGTGCTCCTCCGCGATATTAATGTTTGATTATGCCAGAGCACGTAAACTGTGGGAAGCGAAGCTCAGGGACGGAGCCAAACGATAATGGCTCTTTTCGCTTTCGCGCTTCTGTTTGATCAAACTGCCTCGCTGGCTGTGATCGAACCGATTCGGCCAAGTTGGCGCAGTCCCGGCACGTGTTGTCGGTCCATCGTGTAATTCGACCAGTAGTCAGGCACTTTCGGTACGAATAGCGGAATATCAAAGGGGGAAAGGTTTCCCGAGTTGCCATTGCATCGACGCGCCGATCAAATCCAGATATCGGTCAGGCATTGGGCGTCGTATGGCTGTGGGAACTCGAGACTCTCGGGGCTCTCGGGACTCTCGGGACTCTCGGGACGCGCTGACTCAACTTCGCTGACGCAACCCCCAGGCAAAGCGCAATCAGACACGGTGCAGAGTAACCACGGGAATGCGTCCCGACTGTCCCAGGGTCGCGGCCAATTCGAACCTCTCGACGAGGCAGCGAGCTCAGAGCAACAACCACGGGAATATTTCGGAACTCCTGGACAACCTGCTGCGCGGGTATGACAACAGCGTGAGGCCCGACTTCGGCGGGCCCCCCGCGACCGTCGAAGTTGACATTATGGTGCGCAGCATGGGACCAATTTCGGAAGTCGACATGGTTGGTACAGCTGGGTGGTTGCTATTTTCCTACTTGTTTTACTTTCTTTCTCCTTTCTCTTCTTTCCAGACCTACTCGATGGACTGCTACTTCCGGCAGTCTTGGGTGGATAGGCGTCTGGCCTTCCAGGGCGGCAAGGAGACCCTCGCCCTCAGCATCTCGATGCTGGCCAGAATCTGGAAACCCGACACCTACTTTTACAACGGGAAGCAGAGCTACCTTCACACCATTACCAGCCCCAATAAGTTTGTTAGACTTTACCAGGACGGTCGAGTGCTCTACAGCTCTCGGTGAGTCTCTTTGGTCTCTTTGGTCTTTTTGGTCTGTTAGGTCTCTTTGGTCTTTACCATTAACGTGACGCCGTCATGTTGCCGTTTTGAGGTTTTCAGGTTTTTAGGGCTGCCAGATCGCCTATCTCGTTAGCATAATGCATTCGCAATGTTCACTCGAGCATGGATGGATTCCTCCCGTCCGCCGTGGGCATCCACGTAACCGCGCTTAGAAATACTGACGATCAATGCGCGCATTATTCTGGACTTCTTGAACTCTAGTAGAATTTCTCCGTGGGTTTCTCCTGGATTAACGTCAAAGGGAGCGCGATTCTTGCAGGATCCGAAAAATCTCTCCTCGTTGACGTTGTTCTTTCTCCACTCCCAGAGTTTCATCCTTCTCTTCCTCCTGACTCTGCTTATCTCTCCTAGTTTCGTGCGGATCGCGCAAAGGTTCCGCTCGTTTCCTCTCGAGTGGCCCGAAAATACGTGCGCCATCTGTCACAGCTAATGTCGCGGGATAAAAAGGATTCCTCGTAGGACTCGTTTTTGGATACTCGCGGTACGTCGAAAGGAAAGTTCTAAAGTCCTGAATGGAAAAGCCCCTCCGAAAAATGGTGCTGGTTCTATTTTTGAGTAATTCGAGTCAATTGTTGGCAAAATAAGCAGCCGTCCACGTGACGGATGTGAGGTGAGGATGGCGCGTGAGAAGAATTGGATTCCGGGCGCATCAGTCAGTACCAGAATTCGGGCTGATCCTGGAGCGAGGTAGGTGCTGATGAAGGATTGACCCCAGAGGCCGTTCGAGGGAGTCATTTTATCGGTGTTATCGGTGTCCAGGTGTTCGGAAGCCTTTTTCCTTTACGAGAGTTAAGCATCCTCTGCTGGAGTTGGATCGCGTCCAGCATTCGAAAATTTGCAGGTGCTCAAAAAATTACAGAGTATGTGGGTCTCTGTATCCGTTTGTAGGTGCAGCCGTGCGGAAGCTGCGAAGGCGGGGGGTGGGGGGTGTAAGGATGGTTAAGGATGGTTAAGGATGGTGGCTGTGACGGGAAAGTCGGGGACGGGAAGAGGATGAACGCGCGGGGGGAGACTTTGATCATGAGCCTCGATGGAACTTTTGCCACAACTCGCTCTTGGTTTCCTTAGCACGCGAACCGCAACGCGCAACACAGCACAGAACCCTTTCTCGTCTTTTTCGTAATTCTCTCCATTTTCCCCATTCTCCCCATTCTCCCCATTCTCCCCATTCTCCCCATTCTTCCCATTCTCCCCATTCTCCCCATTCTCCCCATTCTTCCCATTCTCGCCTCTCTACCAGACACCCATCTCGTCTCCTTCACGAGGGTGAGAAAATTACCTCGCTACATTTAATAGCCTGCCTATTTAATGCTACCGGATAATTTAAGACCAGAAATTTGCCCGATTTCGAGAAACGCCTCAAGTTAATGTCAATCTTACGAGTCCCCAAAATTCTGCTGTAGCCATTTGGCTGCTCATCGCTGAAAATATCCAGATTCGACACGACAGACGCGACTTCTCCCGGGAAAGCTGGATGGTTCGATTGTTCGATTGTTCGATTGTTCGATTGTTCGATTGTTCATAAAACTAGACGGCTAGTCGGTATTAGCCCCTTGGGCTCATCAGCATGTTAGGTGCAGAGGCAAAGTGCATCGGCGCAGTCTCCGTGCAAACAGTGAACTCGATCGAACTGAAACCGACGTCCGATCTCAGGGAAGAGGCTGACTGAAACCTCTACGTTCTCTCTCCATGTATACCTTAGATAAGTCAGATAACAGGACTAGATAAGGCGAGAGGAGAATCGAGCTGGACAGGAGTGACGGAACACGCTGACTAGAGAGACTGACTATTCTTAGGATGAATGAACGAATGCAGTTGTATTGAATTTCACGTGGGATTTAATAAATTGCAGCATCCTGCGGTACACTAAATACTTTGCCTCTGTATTTACAGACTTACCATCAAGGCGGGCTGTCCCATGAATCTCGAGGATTTTCCAATGGATACTCAGAGGTGTCCTCTCAGATTTGGCAGCTGTGAGTATGTCCAAATGTCTTCGTCTTGCTCTATTCATTAAATTTCACGTGAAAAGTGTTATGTGATCCACGACGAAGAAGAGTTCCTCTCGAGTAAACTTGAGGTAAGATTGAATGAGGCATCTCGTGCAGGAAGATCATCAGGGAAGAGCGGCGAGGGTGTGAAGCGACGCACGGTCGAAGACTGGGGGAAGGAAGGATGATCCGAAGGAAGGAATCGACTACGTAAGAATTTAAGTTAAAGCTGCTCCGGCTCGAAGGGATGATCGCGAGACCTTATGGTGACACACTCTTCCCTGGGGAGGCCTACATGCGAGCCTAACGCGTCCTGGTTAGGCCTCCCTTAACGGGGGATCTTAATTCGGGAGAGGGAAAGGGGGGCTGGGGGCAGCACCTCTCAGTTTTTAAATCCTTGCTTGAAGCATCCTAATTCTTATCTTGGTGCTTTCCTTTACAGTTGGCTACACGAGCAGGGACGTCGTCTACAAGTGGAACAGCGCGAGACAGGTGGCCATTGCCGAGGACATGAAACTCTCGCAATTCGATCTCGTTGCCAATCCGACGGCGAATCATTCGATGGCACCGACACTTTCCCACAGTAAAGTATCTTTCTCCTCCGACTTATTTAACTTTCCTTGCATGTTCGTTTCCTCTGATTCTTTTGCTTCAGGCTCTTGCTGCTAAAGTTTTTCAGTGGGTGTCGCCTAGGGAAAGAGGGAAAGCAGGAAAAGCAGGAAAAGGGTGGAGGAAAATGAGTAAAATGAGTAAAATGAAGAAAATCAGGAAGTGCAACGTTCTTAGACAAAGCGGCTTCATCAAGCACAGCGCTTCCGTTACGGAGTGACGAGAGGGACAGGGTGGTGGTTCGAGGGAGGCTGGCTTCGGGCTTACTCGTTGTCGTTCAGGAGATATGGACTATTCACTGGCGTAAAGACTGGAGTTTCCAGAGATCTAATGTTCGGATTGGGATTGAGCTACTGCAAGGCCTGTGAAGAGGAAAATGCAGGAGCAAAGCGTCTTTTTAATGCGGCAGACGTTGGCGCCCATGCTTCTCCTTGAGAAGCGCGCTGATCGAGTTAAACTCTGTTGGTTTTTGCAAAGTCTTCCAATTTGGCCAGTGCTCGAGTGCGCGCCACCGCCTCGCTCCACTCGTGCTTCTCTTCGCTGACTCACTGACTCACTGACTCACTCTTCTCCACGCAGAGAAAAGGAAGTAAAGAGAAGAAGTGGCCAATATAAAGGCATCGTCGATTTCGTTAAATATTTTTATTAAAAAATTGCAGACTCCTTGACGGTTGCACGGCAAACTTCCAGACTAGCGAAAATGCCAAACACCCGAGTAATTGGGAATTCTTGGGAGGAAACCATGTCCTCCCTCAAAATCTCCTTGCTTCCTCTCCAGATTACATAAAAGATACCTACTGTATTACCTTTTTTGACCCACTTTTTTTGTCTCCCTAATTTTCTCCCCATTTTTATTCATCAACGTCGACGGAGTTTCCAAAGTCTTTCCCTCTCCCTGATCATCATTTAAATTAGCTTGAGATCAGTTATCTGTGGAGTAGATTTAAGGTATAAAGCGCCAAACAACAAGCTCATGGTAAATTCTCAGCTTGCGGATTTTGCTTCGTGCATTTTAATTTTCCTCCAGTCGCCTCTCGTTTTTCCGACTTGTAGGTAAATCCATTAATCGTTGCTCTGTTCTCTCTTTTAGGAGAATATTCGATGCTTCTAGTATCGTTTCATCTTCAAAGACACATGGGAAACTTCTTAATTCAAGTATACGGTCCCTGCGTTCTCCTGGTAGTTCTCTCCTGGGTCTCCTTCTGGTTGAACAGGGAAGCCACCGCCGACAGAGTGTCTCTCGGTAAGTTTCGAGAATGGCTGAGATTGTGACTGGAGAGCTTGTGATAGAACGGACTATAATCCTGAAATCTATTTTCAAGAATCTTTTACCATTTTGTGCTATCATTTTTCTAAATGGAAACTTAAGAGAATACCTATTATAGTAAAAAGACTGCTGCTTTTGTTTCAGGTATAACGACCGTATTGACCATGACTTTCCTGGGACTCGAAGCCAGAACCGATTTGCCGAAGGTGCCCTATCCCACGGCCCTCGACTTCTTTGTCTTTCTCTCCTTCGCCTTCATCTTCGCTACGATCATACAGTTTGCCGTCGTTCACTACTTCACCAAGTATGGTTCCGGCGAGTGCTACTTTAGTTCGGATCTAAGCGACACGGAGAATTCGAGCGACGAGGAGGATGAGAAGGAGGTCATCGTCAAGTGGAGAACAACGAGTAACGATACGGTACGTCTCTCTCTCTCTCTCTCTCTCTCTCTCTCTCTCTCTCTCTCTCTCTCTCTCATAACAAGCGAAAAGGAAAAGGACATAATGTCAAAGGCAACCGCGTGGGCTTATTCTAGGCTCAACGTAAATCCTCATGGATGAATGACCAGAGCCGTGGATTCGCCTTGAACGGAGAAGAAGGCCTCAACGAAGTGATTCCTCTCTCGGCTATACCTGAGCCGAGCAGGCGACGCCCCAGTGGACAGTGGCCGATATCCTGCATCCCCTGCAGCCCGCCGCCAGCAAAAGCACCACCTCCTCGAAAACTTTCAAGGCGTAGGCGAAGGAGAAGAGCACCTAGATACAATTCGGTATCGAAGATCGACCGCGCGAGTAGAGTCGTCTTCCCACTCTTCTTCCTGGCTATCAACGTCTTCTATTGGTACGCCTATCTCTCGAGGAGCGAGAGAATCAACTACGCGCAGCCCAAGTATCAAGATTGATGTCAATGAACGTCCGCTTGATCCGTCTCTCTACGTAGCCGACCAATTTTACAAGTGTTTGCGTGCGTAATATTACCAAGAACCTGGATGGCTTGACATGAAGTTTGTATCGTCATAATACAGTTGGATATATTGCAATTGCAATTGGAAACAACGTGTGTTCTCAGCTCATGCGCCACTCTCGATAAAAGATACGTCGATAAGAACGTTGCTAGTTGTAAAAGTTACTCAAAACATATATATTATATATGTATATAGATGACAGGGACTATTTGGAAGATACGCGAGAAGCGACTATTGCCTTAAGCAGAACGCAGCTGTATTTCTTTCTCTTTCATTGTGCGCTGCGCAATCGGACCAAATTACGAATGCATTATCTTTTCGTATGTATATCAGGTGCATCTCTTTAACACTGGCGCGATTGCAATTGACACTGACAATGGTCGAATATCTCTTAATTCCAGGATCTATTCAAGTATCCGTCAGTCTGCATTTGAAAATTGCCAGGGAAAGGTGTAATTTCAGATTCGAATTATATTTTAGGAGATGTTACAGCTACTAGTCTATTAGAACCTAAAGGGAATTGCGAAGGGGGGACGATGAATTTACCCAAGAGTTCCCGAGGACCACCCCTATAACGGGTGGAAAGAAAAAGTTCTTGTCATAATGTCTTATGAATTTATTAGAAGACCTCAAATTTCATCAGATATTTAACAGAGAAATAAAGTTTCAACATGGAAATAGAGAAATCCGCGTCGCTATCCTTGGAATATAGGTGGGCAAAAACTTTGGTATTCCCTTCGTCACGGTGTCGCCGTTTATGAAGTTTACGATTGGTTAAAAGAATTGAGTCATTGGTAAACTCGCAATCAGAGTGAGCGCACCACGTCTAACAGTTCTTGAGCGTAATAGTCTGGAATGATTTGCTGCGCTTCTTCGGTGGCAGTTAGCATTTTTTCAAAGTCGTGCGAATTAGTGACACCCGTTAACACTAGCAACGTCTTGAATCCACAACGCTTGCCCAATTTAATGTCCGTCGAACAGCTGGAAAGATGTATAGAGAAGTTTAATGAGTCGGGCGGCCGCGACGCTAGTGACAATGATAAGATTCTTCTTACTTGTCTCCGATCATGAGGGTCCGCTTCGGCTCGAGGGAATATTTCTTAATGACGTATTGGCTAACGTAGGCCTCTGGCTTCCCTAGAATCACGGCACGTCTATTGGTCGCCACTTCGACGGCGCGTATCAAGCACCCGCTTTCTGAAAGGAGGTTGCGCTCGGTACATTTGTGAGAGGTAACTTTTTGCCTCGAAGACTCTTTCGTTCAGACGCCGGCCTACCGGGAAACTTGTTGGAGTTCGGAGATGGTTTCTCGGCGTCGCAGTTTGTACCAATGAAAAGAACGTTCGGATCGTTAAGGTAAGTCGCAGCTTTCGTCAATTTTGGATAACTGAAGTTGACGTCGAGGCCGACAACGACAGCACCGACTTCAGCGTTGGGCTTGAAAGCTTTTATCATTTCCACGTCATCGTCCCCTTCCATGACGTCAGGCTACATTGATTAACTACAATGGTTTCTGCTTCCCACTTCGCTTCTGATAAGAAAAGCGATTACTCACTCCGATTCCAATGTGCTTGATGCCGACCGCATCCAATTCCTTCCCGATTCCGTCGCTGCCCACGATGTAAACCGTTTTATCAAAATTCTTCTCTTTAAGATACATTGCGGTCAGAAAAGACGTGCAGACTATTTCCTCCTGTCGAAAAGATTTTATTCGATAAAAAACGCCGTGCTGTCGGTCCTCTTAGGAAATACGAGATTCCCAATTACCGGGGACGCATCGTAATTTAATGCTTTAGCCTTGCGAAATAACTCTTCTCTCGTTTTAGTGTTGTTATTCGTCACGTAGAAAAATCTTTTGCCCATTTCTTTGAATTTCTTGACAGCCTCCGGAGACCCCGGCACAGCCTCGGTCTCTCTCCAAAGTACACCTGTGTGCGCAGTACGGTACAGTTTTAGCAATCCTCGAAAATAGTGAAAGAAGCTCTCTCTCTCTCTCTCTCTCTCTCTCTCTCTCTCTCTCTCTCTCTCTCTCTCTCTCTCTTTTCGATCGCACGCGCTTCACTCTGCATTCACATTCTACTCACCGTCGCAGTCCGACAGGACAACGTCGAACGAGTCGACGAAACTTTTCAATTCGTCTTTTGAGAAACGTGTCACATACTTTGGTGTCATATTCCTCTTTGAGCAGAATGAAGATGTAGCAGGGCGAATGGACATGAAGCGGAGAAACAGAAGGGAAGAAGAAGAGAAAGAAGAAGAAAGACGGATCTGTGTAGCAGCAGTGAAGGTGCGAGTGAACGCGAATGATCGGAGGTCGCCGAGAAGAGAGACGCGCTGTGAAAACTTGAGAGTCGGCTGAACTGCCGTTCGCAGATGCTGCGCTGCTGCGTTACTGCTTGGCCAGATGCCGTGGACCGCTACCCACGCGACCTTACTTATGTAATTTTACATAACAGAGTTCTCAGACCGTGTACCGGTATCTCGATATCTCGACATCTCGACATCTCGACTAGGATACAATTCATCGACCTTGTACACTAACAATAGGCAAACCGACTAAATCTAATTAGATGCATCCGTGCAATGCGAATGCAATTCACGAGCTCAGCGGAGCTTCTACTGTTGATAAATAATCTCCAGTACTTTTTTCCAGGGCGAGATATAAATCAGATCAGATCATTCCATTCAGAGATCACAAACTGCATCCCACTTTGAGCTGTGCCAGCCTCTTCCATGGACCATTTTGGCTTTTTGCGTAGAGAGATTTTTTAAAATATCAAAGAAAAAGCCCTAAATCCAACCCTTTCCGAGATACAGCATCCCAAAGGTGCAATTTTTACTAGTTTCAAAATTCAAGAATAGACGAAATTCGGAATCACGGCGAAATTCCTTGGAGGAAAACAATAATCTAAGTAAGGGAACGCAGGTCTCGCCTTATTGCTCACTTTTACTATAACTCTTAATATCCCTGTGTCTTTAACCGCAGGACATCCCAGGTATTACGAAGTACACAGGCACGAGAGCAGAGGTTCACATCCAAATATCAATTTAGAGCTACTCGGCGTCCATAAGTCTCCCTCACTCACCTCCTAAGTACATCCTTAAAAACTAAGTGTTGTTCAAGTATCCTTTGGAAAAAGAAAATTTAAAGAACTAGTGCATATAACATACAACACGTATATTATATTCCAGTGATATATGAAATATATTTTTAATGGTACTGTTACTGTTAATCTTTCGCAAGCCATATACTTTATACGTATACTGTATCATTATTACATTTGTCTAATAAATTATCTTGTAACACTTATACACTTTTCGAATCTCCTATTCCTTCCTATATCTCCATCATTTTCCTCGCAGTATATCCTCAAAAACTAAGTTTTTAAAATGTCATTTGGAACAAGAAAAATCCAAAGTGGTAGTGCATGTAACATACCACACGTATATTATATTGTAGTGATAGATTGTAATATATTTCTAATGGCATTGATATTGTACTTTGTGTACTGTATCATTATTGCAATTGTCCAATAAATTATCTTGTAACACTTGTACACTATTCGAATCTCCTATTCCTTCCTATATCTCCATCACTCTCCTCCTAATATATCCTTAAAAATTAAGTTTTTAAAATGTCTGTTGGAGAAAGAAAAATCTAAAGCGCATGTAACATATTACACATATATTGTAATGATATATGTAGTATATCTGAAATGGTATTGTTATTGCTAATGTCACGAAAACCATATATGTATGTATATCTATACTTTGTATACTGTATCATTATTGCATTTGTCGAATAAATTACCTTGTAACACCTATACACGTTGATATTCTTTTGCCCTATGCGAATATCCCAGAGTACGAATGAGTTCTGTCTCTTTCTTACTCTTCTCCGTCCTAACAGCATCCTTATTCTTATTAAAGAAATTCTTATCATCAATTCTATCAATCTATTTAAATGATTTCAAATGTAATTTGAAAATCGCATCGTCGAAACTTCAGTGGGTTAATTTTTATTAAAGAATTCGTATTAGTTCGAATTTTCGCCGATAAGAGGGCAGCACCTCCTGGGCATGATATGTGGCGCCATCTCTGAGAGAACGAGTGAACTTTCTCGAATAAAATAATTCCGAGAGTAATTCGAAAATCAGCTGTATCTCTGAAGATACAGGTACTGATCAAATTGCGATAGGGCACTTTCAAAAAATCCCTTTACTTTTTGCAACTTGCTGATGGAATGGAAGTAATGACAGAGAAAATAGAGCATAACCGAATAGAGGTGTAGCAGCATAAGGCAAGAAAAGGAGGAAAAGGATACGGTTATAATCGAGGAGAATCAGAGAGAGCCAGAACTCACTCGTACTTTGGGATATTCGCACAGGGTAAAATAATATTAACGTGTATAAGTGTTACAAGATAATTTATTTGACAAATAGAATAATGATACAGTGTACAAAGTACAGATGTACATATTGTATAGTCCGCGAAAGATTAGTAATATCAATGCCATTAAACTTAATTTTTAAGGATATATTAGAAGGAGAGTGATGGAGATATAGGAAGGAATTGGAGATTCAAAAAGTGTACAAGTGTTATAATATAATTTATTGGACAAATGTAATAATGATACAGTATACGTACAAAGTATATGGCTTGCGAAAGATTAACAATAACAGTACCATTAGAGATATACTACATATATCATTGCAATATAATATACGTGTGGTATGTTACATGCACTACCACTTCAAACATTTCTTTCAACTTAATTTTTCTTCAAACTTAATTTTTAAGGATATACTAGGAGGAGAGTGATGGAGAATAGGAAGTAATAGGAAATTCGAAAATAGAGTAGAAACG